TTATAACACGAAGCCTGTGCTACAGGAGGGCTATGAAGCCCTAGAAGTTAAGAGTATATGGGTGGGAGGGAGGCCTATTGCAGGCTGCAAGGCCAGAAATGCAATCATGTTTTGCTTAGGGGCATTCATTTGTGTTGGCTTGGGCTGTGGGATTTGGGCTATCACACATTGTTTTAGCATGGTTATACCGTACATTAGTGTGTGCATGCTAATATATCACTTGTTTTTGGCTTGCATTGGAACAAAGGGAGAAGTGCCAGGAAAGCAGCATACGGAAAGCAGTGCAAGAGAAACCAGGGCGTTTTGCTTGGAACACATGAGCACCACACAGCTTAGTACGACGACTAGCATATGCGCAGTCATAGGTTGGGAGGGAAAGACAGGAACAGAAAACACGCATGTGGTGGATGTGGTGCCATTTTTGAGAACTCTCTAAGGAAAATGAAATAGATGTGGTGGTGGTGGTGAAGGAGGAAGAAGCAGATGTTCTGCTGATTGAGAAAGCTTGCTTTCTTGTTTTTATCATTTGGCATCGTTCTCATTGCAAATGACATATTACAACATATCCATCGAGTTCTAACACAAGCTAGTACATGCAGAGAATACTAGCTAAAATGTACCGTGTCCAAACGGCCTTAGTAGGCAGTCGATGCTGGGGTGGGTGGTGGGAAAGTTGAGTGAGCCGTTGGAAATAGAGAAACGTGGGTGGAGGGAAATGAGCTCCAACCCACGGTTTTTGTAGTTGGAGAAGGGCGTTTAGCGCGCTTCGACGATGCCAAATGTGCAGTACAAGCAGCTTCGCTTTCACAATACACAATTTAAAAAACACAATGTGTGTTTAAAATTTATAATATTGAGAAAGCTTGCTTTCTTGTTTTTATCATTTGGCATCGTTCTCATTGCAAATGGGGCCTCTGAGACATGGGCAGCGGGGGTTTCCGGTTGCGTACGAGTGCCTCTGCGTGTTGCTCCGAGGACAATGCAAGTGTCGGGTTCTGCAGGATGCGCGATGCCTTGATGAGAGGTTCGACGTATGGCGTGACGTACATTTCCTTGGCTGTGTCACTTCGCCACCTGCCCAGTCTTCTGTAGATTCTGTCTGGTACACCGGTGTTGGCTGCCACTGTGGCCGCGCCTTTTTGGAAGGAATGAGTGCCGAGCTGCTGCTCTCCAAGCCCAACCTTTGCGAAGGCTTCCTTGCACCAGTTCCGGATCGTCGTGTATGAAGGTGGCCTGGCCTGGCCCACGCTGGTTGAGGCATGGCCGAAGACGCGGATCAACGACCCCTCCGAGTGCGGGCCGTAGCCAGCAAGTTGAATGAAGCGTCTGGTGCAGCGCACGGGGCACCGCCGTTGCCGCAATGGGTATCCATGTTCCATGACCGGCCTGATCCGTCTTGGAGTGTGGTATGAGGATCCACATGACATCGTCGTCGAATTGGATGTCTTGCCATTTGATAGCCACGAGGTCGGAGTATCGCAGAAATCCCGAGTACATGAGGATAGGGATCAGCCCTTTCTGGAATTCCGCCGGATTGTCAGACAGCAGGTAGCTCGCCGCCATGTCTCGAACTTGTTGGATCGATACGGGCTCCTTCAGACGAGTAGGGCGAGGGCAATGGCGTTTCGCAAAGTCGCGGACTTGTGTGGTGAATGGCCCATCCGTCGGGCATGTGCTCCCAGTCATGCGATGGGCGAAGCTGACTGCTGAGCACGTGAGCTGTACTACAGACAGGGTAGCTTTACGTTGGATTGCGTGGACCAGGTATAGCGCGAGGGTCATGTCGGATGCGGGGAGAAATGCAAGGTTCACCTTTGTACAAAAGGCTCGAAACTTAGTCCAGTATGGTTCGTATGTCCGGATCGTCGAGTTTGCACGAGACTGTGCGATCATGTTAATCAGCTGGTCGTGTAGCTTTGGGAGCAATTCTGAACACAAGGCGGAGAAGTTATGAATTAGTCAAATACCACTCGGAGTGCTATGATTGGGCTGTGCGGTAATCCTGAGCCTGAGAAGGCAGTGGAATGTGTCCCTGCAGCTAAGCATTGGCTTCCGTGAGTCAGAGGGATGTGTGCATGGATGTGTGACGCCCACGTGCATGGGGAGGGTTGTAGTAGTGACCACCAGCTTGTGCCCGGCCAGTGCGGAACTATCAGTGTGAGTGATGCGTGGGTGCGTTGTGCGTGGTGGAGGACGGCGGGGACCAATTGGGGTGGGGGGAACGCGAAACCATTTTCGCCTGTCCATGCGAGCGAAAATGCATCAATTGCGAAGGCGTCTGGGTGAGGGATCTTTGTGCAGAAGCGCGATAGCTGGGTGTTGCGGGAGTTTGCAAAAAGGTCGATGGAATGGGGACCCCAACGACGTTCCAAGATGCGGAACCATGGCGTCTTCAACGAGTAGTCGTCGTGATCGACTATTTTGGAAAGCTCGTCAGCGTGTGAGTTGAGTTCGCGGGGAATCCATTCGATGATTAAGCGCGTGCCGAGCTCCATGCATGTTCGTATGATGCCCTTGCAGGCCATGGTGAGGTCGGGGCTGCGAGAGCTTTCTTTGCGAAGGATGAAGAATACACCTTGGTTGTCCACCCGCACGAGAACGTGTTTTTTCTGGATCTTGTTGGCATACGTTTGGATTGCCCAAAAGACGCCTTCAATCTCCCGTCTCGTGCTGGACGTTGCTCGTAGCGGCTCTGGCATGGTTGCACTAGCTTCTTCGAGGCCGCCCGGAAACGTGGTCAGGGTGGCGCCCCAACCGTGAGAGCTGGCGTCCACATGGATTACAGCGTCGTAACTGTTTCGGACGTGGAATGGTGCACCGTTAAACCGATCAAACTCTTCGCGCCAGAAGTTGAGCTCCTCAGCTACAGATGGGGAGACGATCACACTGCTTTTCCATGACGGCGCGTCGTTGATCACTTGTAACATGGCGTGGCTGAATGCGCGAGCTGTCACGCCTAGTGCAACACTCATTGAGGCGAGCATGCCTGTGACTCTGGCCACATGACGGACGGGGACTGGTGTGCTTGCCTTGCTTGCACTTAGGAGGTTCTGGATGGTTGCATGTAGCGCGACTCGTCGGTCGGGACCGATGGAGAATCGGCCGGTGTCGGTGTCCAACTCTACACCCAAAAATCGAAGGTGCTGCGATGGTAAGAGCTGCGATTTCTTCGCGTTTATCACCAGCCCCGCTGCTTTGAGGTCCAATATTACGCGCTGACAGGTAGCTTGCGCATGGGCCTTTGACTGGCAGAGAAATAAAATGTCATCCACGTATGGCACTACTCGGATGCCCTGTTCTCGCCAACGCCGAGCAAGTTGCTTGATGAGTTGCGTGAAGACGAATGGAGCTGTGGCGAGTCCGAATGGCAGGGATCGAAATGCGTATGTGTGTCCACCAAATTCGAATCCAAGGAACTTCCAGCACGAGGGGTGGATGTCGATGTGGTGATAGCCGGATTTGAGGTCGATGGAGAACATCCAGTCCCCAGCGCGTGCCAGGTCGGCCACCCGGTTAAGTCCCTCGTACTTGAACTTGGGGACAATTAAGTGGGCGTTGACTTTCCTCAGATCAAGAATGAGCCTGCATTTGTCTTTTTGCTCGACCACGTTGAGCGGACTTATGCAAGTAAGCTCCTTTGCGGCCATCGGAACTGCCGCTCCGGTCTCTGTGAGTTCGTGTACGGCAGTACGTGCGAATGTGGCATGCGTGTTCGCCCCGACATGGTTGCGATCGTGGAAGGGTTGCGGTGGGCCGTGGCTCCATGGCAACCAATAGCCTTTGGCTATGACGGAGAGGACAAGGCTACTCGAGCACCATGAGCTCCACCATGCAAAGGTCGCGCGAAGCCGACCGCGCATATGTGTAACGGTTTTGTCCGTTATGGCAAATTCGTATGGGTCGTCGCCGCATGCCGCCTCGTATTGCCACGCTCCGGCGTCATCTTCGGAGTCGTCGGTGTCGTTGTCGACCGCTGGAGCAGGGGGAGCGCCGGTCGCTGCGTCGTTGTTGCGCCGATTCGTCCTTGCTTCTCGCACTCCTTTTTCCTTTTTTGCAGTTTCGTTTTTAGCAGACGCAGATGCAGCAGGTAGTGCAGTTTCCGCGGCTGTAACGCTGACGGGCTGCTGCTGTAGAAGGGACAGCAGCGCGTTGACCTGGTCCGGGGTCAACGCCTGCGTCAGCGTAGGGGTCGCCGTCGCGTCAGACGAGGAGACCGCCGGTCGTCGCCTCTGGCGCTGACGCGACGGTCCAGCCGCGGGTGCTGGCGTGTGCCCCGCGTCAGTCGCGTGTGTCGCGCCAGCCGCCGCTGCCACTGGCGCCACTGGTGCCACAGGCGCCACTGGCGCCACTGGCGCCACATTCGCCGAAGGGTGCTGGGCATCGAGCCCGCCCAGCAGCACGTCCACTCCAGTCGGGGCGGAAGGTCCATCTTCTGCCCGACGCTTGTTACGTCGATCGCCCGCAAAATCGCGGGCGTTACGGTCGGAGTCGGAAGCGGGGTTGGCCGAGTTGTCGTTGTTAAGTGCCGGCGTAGGTGCCATCGTTGAGCGATTGAAGTTAAAAATATCGCTGAGTAAAGTCGAGGGTGAAACGCCTCGAGGAAGCGTTTTGGTTCTAGCCAGTTTGGACGGAGGAAAAAACTACTCGAGCGGGAAAGTTGAGTGAGCCGTTGGAAATAGAGAAACGTGTGTGGAGGGAAATGAGCTCCAACCCACGGTTTTTGTAGTTGGAGAAGGGCGTTTAGCGCGCTTCGACGATGCCAAATGTGCAGTACAAGCAGCTTCGCTTTCACAATACACAATTTAAAAAACACAATGTGTGTTTAAAATTTATAATGTGTTGAACACTGACCACTGCACACTGAACACTGAACACTGACCACTGCATCCGCGTCACAGCTTCAGTGCCGCCGCCCGAATCCGCTGAGGCCCATGCTGCTGTGAACCTCAAAAGAGAACAAAATAACCCATGTGCTGCTGGTGGTGAAGGCCCCATTCACGTCACAGCTTGAGTGCCGCCGCCCGAATCTGCTGAGGCTCAAGCTGCGATGGCGCTGCCGCCCGCTGCTTCTCGCTGCCAGATGCTCTGATGTCCTGAATGTGTGTGAAGACCTGTGGGGGGCAGAAGGGGAGGGGGGGGAGAAGGGAGGGCAGATAACATAACATGTCAACACTTGACAAAGCAGCTCTTGCTGCCAGATGTTCTGATGCCCTGAATGTGTGTGAAGACCTGTGGGGGAGAAAAAAGAGAGTGATCGTAACACCTCGAATCACAGTGAAAGCACCTCCTGCTGCCAGATGCTCGAGACAGCGTTGTGGATGTGAGTGGAAAAGTGGGACAAATGACGCAGATTGGACCATGATAGGGACGAAAGCGGGAAAAAGTGGGAAAAGAGGGGGGAAAAGGGCAGGGCAGGTAAGAAGGGCAGGTAAGAAGGGCAGGTAAGAAGGGCGTACCTTTGTTGAATTGGTGAAATCTGAAAGGCCCTGCTTCTGCTGCCCCTTCTCCACCACCCGTATCTTACGCCCACCACTGCCAGCAGCAGCACCACCCACACCAGATGCCGTGCCAGGGACTGCCTGTGAGGTTTTCTGGTCTTCGGCCTTCTCTCCTGCACAAGCACAAGAGGAAGAAGGGAGGGCAGGGGGAAGGGAACACGGTATCTTGCGCCCACCAATGCCAGCAGCAGCACCACCCACACAAGATGCTGTGCCAGGGGCTGCCTGTGAGGTTTTCTGGTCTTCGGCCTTCTCTCCTGCACAAGCACCATGGAGAGGAGCGAGAGCAGGGGAGAGGGGAAATGTGTTGGGAGAGTTTAGACAGAATGGGGACTGAAGGGAACGCACCACAGGGGCCAGCATCAATCACAAAACGAGAAAGCACAGGAAGCACAAGAAGCACAAGCGGCACAAGCAGCACAAGAAGCAGCACCGACACTCACCCTTCCACTTGCGCTTGAGCTTGCTGCGAAGCCGCTTCCGATCCTCCCGCTCCATCTCTCCCTCGCCCTTCACCATCCCCCGGGCACTCCCCCTCCTCCCCCCGCCCGCCCCCACGCCTTCCTCCCCGCCCGCAAAAACCTCCTCTGGCGCCAGCATGCTTGCCGTTGACACCGCCACTGGCGCCACCTGGGGGAGGGGAGGATGAGAGGGGGGGGCATTGAAAGGGAGGGGGGATTAGTGGCTGTGGCAATAAGACGGGGAGCCCGCAGGGGCCACCCCACGCCCTTCTCCCCGCCTTCAAACACCTCCTCTGGTGCCAACATGCCACTGGCCGTTGACACCGCCACTGGCGCCACCTGGGGGAGGGGAGGATAGCAGGGTACAGCAAGGAAGAGCATGGGGGAAGCGATGGCTATCAATAGAGGAGGAACGGAATCATTGCCAACATATTTGTGCTTGGTTGGAAGGAAGAGCATCGCACACTTGGGGACTGCAAGTGGTCCCTCAAACATATGTTGTTGTTGTTGTTGTTGTTGTTGTTGTTGTTGTTTTTTTTTTTTTTTTTTTTTTTTTTTTTCCATTTGGCTTGTTTTTGGTTGCCTTGTTGTTTTGGTTCTCAGAAAACCCCTCCACCGCGCACACCACTCCAGCAGTCGTACCTCTTCCATTGCAATGGCCGGCACGTTGGCTGTGACGTCAATGTCATCCATGATCTGATGGGAGTGGGAGGAGGGGAAGAAGCATGTGAGATATTAGTAAGAAGCACGAGAGGATGTGGCACATCAGCTGATGGCAATGGCCGGCACGTTGGCTGTCACGTCAATGTCGTCCATGATCTGATGGGCAGACAGGGAGGAAAAAGAAGAAAATGACACATTCGATCTAGCGACACGGTGAGTTTCAGTAAACTCGAAATACACATGGTAGGCACATTGGCTGTGATGTCAACGTCGTTCATGATCTGAGGGTGGTGAGGAGGGGGGTAAGAAGCATGCGAGATATGAGTCACGGGTCAATCCAAAATACACCTTGTCTGCACGTTGGCTGTGACGTCGTCAACGTCGTTCATGATCTGACGGGATGGGAGGAGGGGAGCAACAAGCCAATCAGGGCACATCGGTCGCAATGCATGTAGTGGCCTGGCCAGCACATTGAAGTGTAATTTGAGGCGCCTCAAAATACACAGCAATGCATGCAGTGGCCATCTGTGGCCATCTGGCCAGCACGCTGGCATATTGTAGCTGGGACGTTTGAGCCGACTGAGAAGGCACTCCGGGAGTAACGAGCACATGAAGCTGTTAGCCGCTGCATTGTATTGTGCGGTGTGAGGGGTGGCGAATGCAGCGTGTGAGAGGTGGCGAATGCAGCGTGCGAGAGGTGGCGAATGCAGCGTGGGAGGGGTGGGAGACGTACCGGCTTGGGAGCAAAGTGGAAGTGCGAGAGAGCGTCCAGCTTGGTGCAGAGGTGCTTGAACATGCGGGCGGCCTATACGGGGTGAAAGGAACGTACGGAAAGGGAGCAGTGACAATGGGAGGGCGGGAGATGGGAAGGGTGTTAACTGGGAAGTGTGAGAGAGAACCAGTTTGGTGCAGAGGTGCTTGAACATGCGAGCACTGTGGGCCGCCCACCCGTCCCCTCCCTTCACCCTTCCCCCATCCCCCCTCTCCCATCCCCTCCCCACTCCCCCATTCCCCCTCCCCTGCCCCTTTCCCCCTCTCCCCTCCATTTCCCCCCCCACTTTACCTCGTGTTTGATCTGCTCCGTGGCACTCATGCCCTCTGGCGCCTGATCAGCCGCCTTCTCACCACCCCTTTCCCCATTCCCCCCCCCCCTTCCCGCCCTTCTCCCATTCTATCCTCCCAGCACAGCACCTCGTGTTTGATCTGCTCAGTGGCGCTCATGCCCTCGGGTGCCTGACCAGCCGCCTTGAGGAACTGAGCCTCGTAGATCTCCGCCAGGCCTTGGGCGCTGGGATTGTCGTCCTGCGAGGGAAGGGGCACGCATGGAGGGAGCACACAGGAATGAGACGCAGAAGTCAAGGGAGGGGCGAGGCTTGAGGAACTGAGCCTCGCAGATCTCCGCCAGGCCTTGGGCACTCGGATTGTCGTCCTGAGGGAGGCACGGGTGGAGGGAGGGAGGAAAAGGGAACAGACAGGCAGAGGGGGTTGTCGCAGCAGGGGGGGACAGACAGGCAGAAGGGGACAGACAGGCAGAGGGAGAGCGAGAAGAGCGGAGCGAGAAGAGCGGAGCGAGAAGAGCGGAGCGAGAAGAGTGGAGCGAGAAGAGCGGAGCGAGAAGAGTGGAGCGAGAAGAGCGGAGCGAGAAGAGCGGAGCGAGAAGAGTGGAGCGAGAAGAGTGGAGCAGAGTGGGGAGGCCTGAGGGTGGTGGGACGGACCACAGACGTGGGTGTCAAGAGAAAATTAAGGAGGTCAGGCGAGGTCGGGGAGAGAAATAGGCGCAGCATGAGTAGAAACAGGAAGAGAATCAGGAGCAACAGGAGCAGAAGAAGTAGCAGAAGCAGGAGCAGGAGCAGGAGGAGCAGGAGAAGAAGCAGCGGGACCGGCAGCAGCAGTAGAAGCTGCATTGGCCACTCACCAGCTCCAATCTTCCCTTGACAGGTGTCGCAACAGGCTTGGCCTTCCGCTCCACGTCATCGAATTGTTGCTGACGTGGACAAGCAGAGCAAGAAAGGGGAGGGGGGGGGGATAAGGGGAGTTGGGGATAGTTGGATTGGATTGGATGACCAGCCTAGCAACAAGGAGTAGTGGTGCAAACGGAAGCATCATGACTCTGAGTCAACTCACGAATCATAATTTGGATCAACCTTGAATCCTCTTTACTCAATAAACCACCTAAACCCGCACTCCTTCGCTTCCTCCACTTTACCCCGGCCCCCACCAACCTCCAACCACTCACGTTGAAAAGAACCCTCCTGGCCCCCCACCCCCCCCCTCCCCCACCCACCCACCCACACACACAGAACTCACGTTGAGAATCCTCTTCTTGATGATCTCTTCTATCATTTGAGTCACCTCCTCTGTAATCACGGGCGGCGGCTGAGCGGCGTGCTCATCAAAGGACTACTATATGGTTGAACAACCACAACCATAACCACACTCACGAATGACAATCCGACTCTAATATTTTCCTCCATTTCTTCCACTCTCGCCCTCCTCGCTCACCCCGGTCCCCATCCCTCCTCCTCCATTTCCCCCTTTCGTCTCCCTTACACACACACACAGAACTCACGTTGAGAATTCTCTTCTTGATGATCTCTTCAATCGTTTGAGTCACCTCCTCTGTAATCATGGGCGCCGGGCGGGCGGCGTGCTCAAAGTCCAGGTCAGCCGCCAGCGCGCTGTTCTTCGGGCGGCTGCCAGCTGTCACCTCGCCGCGCATCGTCCAATGGCGCGCCTCCACGTGGAGGTTCTCCGCCTCCAGCTGCCGCATGCGCTTCCGCAGCCGCTCCAGGCGGATCTCGTACAATGACTTGGGCTGTAACAACAGTAATCAGAACCGGGAAAGAGAGATGCAAGAGGAGGGCGAGAGGAGGGTGCATGAGAGGGGTGCACGGTAAAAGTAATGTGAATCAAACACTCTCCTCCTCCAGCTGCCGCATGCGCTTCGTCAGCCGCTCCAGAATCTTGTACAGCGATTTGGGCTGTGGGAGCAAATGGGGCGAATCCGGGCGAGAGGATGGCATCATCAAGTAGTGGGTGGGTGGGTGGGATGGGAACAAGGGCTGTGGTGGGAGCTTCGAGAGTTCTCAAGAGAGGGCCGTGAACTGCTGGGACGTCCCATCCATTGTCCCCATCCATTGTCCCCATCCATTGTCCCCATCCATTGTCCCCATCCATTGTCCCCATCCATTGTCCCCATCCATTGTCCCCATCCAAACGTAGAGCAGCTGTAGCTGCGGCCCTATTGTCCCGGCTGACTTTTGAGTCGACTCAAAAGTCAGCGTAGGGCAGCTCTAGCTGCGGCCCTATCCATTGTCCCCACCCACCACCTCTTCCTTTCTAACTCGCTGTCCCCTCCCCACCGCCTCACCACTTACCGTTTCCAACCCATTTTCTTAACGCACCTCCTCGTCCTCCTTCTCTCCACCCTCATCATCCTCCTCTTCCAATAGCCCCTTCTTCCTTCTCTCCACCACTGCCTTCCCCTCCTCCCCTCCTTCCTCCTCATCCTCCTCCTCTCCCTCCTCATCCTCTCCCTCCTCGTCGTCCTCCTCTTCCTCTTCCTCCTCCTCCCCCTCCCACTCCTCCACCTCAACATCCTCCACATCCTCCTCCTCCTCGCCCCTCATTGCCCGATCCGCCTCCAGGTGGCTCTCTGGCGCTTTCCTTCCAAAGAAGTCCTCATATCTGGGAAAAGGATGAGGAAAGGGAGAGAATGGGGAACGCAATGGGGAACACATGAACCCTAACCTCCTCCTCCTCCTCCTCCTCCTCCTCCCCTTCCCACTCCTCCCACTCCTCCACCTCAACATCCTCCACATCCTCTCCCTCCTCGCCCCTCATCGTCCGATCCGCCTCAAGGTGGCTCTCTGGCGCCTTTCTTCCAAAGAAGTCCTCGTACCTGGGAAGGACGACGAAGGGAGCGAAAAATGGGGCAAGCCAATGGGGAACGTGCAGCACAAGGGGGTAGGGATAATGAGGCGAGGGAAACAGAGCAGCGCAAGTGATTGGTCGGTTTTTGAGTCGACTCAAAAACAGAACAGCGCAAGTGATTGGGATATTGAGAAGCCTTATCTCCTCCTCCCCCCCTGCATAGACCCATGGAACAGCATCGAGGTTTAAAGGTCACCTGGTCATGGACCCATCTACCCATGCCTTCTTCTTCTTAGCCTTCCTTACATACAAGCATGCTCAGCTCACTCAAGCGTCCATTCCCCCACCCTGCACTCACTCTTTTCTGCATGCCCAATCGAGCACACCCAGTGGGACGCCTTAACCTAACAGCTCACTTGATCATGGAGCCATCCAACCGTGCCTTCTTCTTCTTAGATTTCTTCCGCACTCCCTGCTCACACACATACGTGCACGTGCCACGCATAAGAAGCATGCACACACAATTGCCACGCACATCCCACAAACAAACGTGCATGGCACATGCCGCCACGCATATTGCGACAGCGGCAGACCATACGTTGCAATTGAGTCTTCAACACTTCTCATGAATTTTCTAAACCGGCACACACATCCCTCCCCATTCCTCCCCATCCCTCTCCACCCCTCCCCATCCCTTTCGATCCCTTCCCATCCATCCATCATGTCCCAATGCCCCTTACCTCCTCCCCGTCATCCTCCCCGCCCTCCTCCTCCTCCTCCTCCTCTTCACCAAGCGACCCTGCCCTGTACAGCGCCTCAAACGCCCCCTCCCCATCCTCTTCATCCCCTTCCTCCTCCTCCTCCCCCTCTCCCTCCTCTTCCTCCTCTCTCCTCGCTTTCCTTATCTCTTCCATTAAAGCCAATTCATCCTCGTCCTCCTCCTCCCCATCCCCATCCCCCTCCCTCTCCTCATCCTCCTCCTCTGAACCCAATACTATCCCTCTCCTCCTCCCGTCCCTCATCAATCCCTCCTCATCCTCCTCTTCTTCCTCCTCCGCACTCTCCCCTTCAGAAACCCCCAACCCGAAACCCTGTACCCGCTCCTTCTCGTCACTTCCCTCCTCGTCCCCTTCCCCTTCTCGCCCCTTCCCCCCTTTCCCCCCCTTCCCCCGCATCTCCTTCCCTTTGACTTTCCCTCCCCCCTGTCCGCCTTCCCCCATTCCGCCTTTCCTCCTGACAAGCTTTGGAACCCGAAAAAACTCCTGCCCCACCGCCTTCCCTTCCGTGAGCTCCTCCGCCCGCTTCAGCCGCCGCCGAATGCGGGGAAGCGTTGGCGCCAAAGCGAGGTCCAGCTGGCACCAGATTTGCTCAGAATCAAATCCGTCCACGAAAAGCCCAGGAAGCTTCTTTTCCGGGGCTAGCGACTGGGATTTGGTCATACGGGACGCTCCTTTTTTCCCTCCGCCAGATGCGGCGTCGGATGCGGCGTCCTTTGCGGCGTCCAGGTTGGACATTCCGGAGTCGAATAGCGCCTTCACTGCGGTGCGAAGCTGCTGCGAAAGGTCCGAGGAAGGTGCGAGGAAGGAGGTGGGTGGGAGATCGCCGAGCGAATCCAGAACGTCTTTAGTGGCCTCATCCTCTTTAGTAGCGGCACCTGCCCTGGTGGCCTCATCCTCGTTAGTGACTGCAGCAGGCATGTCGCTTCTAACGGGTGCACAGGCTGTAATAGCACGGGGCACACAGGCTGCGCTCACGAAAACGTAACTAAGAATAAATTTCTTAAGGGCGGCTGCTCAGGGCTAAAGTTGTCTCATGCAGGTGTCGACTGGATGGATTGCAACGACTTTGCTGTTACTCTTTCTACCGGAATGCCTTCGTTGCGTTGCAATGCGATCCTACGATCGTGGTTTTTAGCTCGCTTCGTCTTAGTGTGGGACCGCATGGGAAGGGAGGTACAGGAATGGTGGGGATAGTGGGGGTGAGCAGCGGATATTAGGGTTGCGGGTGTAAGGGTTTGGCAAACGGGGTTTATTCCACAATTTTTCGTTGAAATGTTATGGTGTACATAAGACGAGACTCAGAACGGGGTTGTGATTTGTCTGAACTCCTACAGTGCTACTTCATATCGTGTATAGCTCAAATATTTGCGCCCCTGCATTTCCATCCCCCACATGAACAAATTTCCTGCCAGCTAGCTAATCCAGCTGCTGAAACCAGGGCAGGGCAGAGCTGAAAGCATCAGTCCGCCATATCCGTCGTAACCGTAGTGTGGCGCGTTCGTAACCGTCATGCGATTTCGCCGTCATCTCGCCAAGATTTTGCCGCCATCTCGCATTGCGTCATTTGACAGCTCAACATGATTCGCCGTCTCCTCGTTCGCTTGCTCCTTCCGAAGCAACCGCCTACTCGCAAGAATCCAAATCACGGAACCTCAACCGGACTGCATGGACCTTCATCTTCTTATCGCGATGCCTCGATATCGCGTACAGGCGGCGAGCCGTCAGCTCCGGACATGGAATACCTGCGCCTCTTCCGCCAGCGCACGGCGGAGTTCCGCGCGCTCGGAGGGGAAGCGCTGGTGGGGGGAAAACGGGCGGAGACTGGCGGAGAGTGGGGAAGGGAAGGGGCGCCGCTGAACCCGCTGCTCGTGCCCTACATTGACCTCAACATCGCTCCGCTGCGCAGGATATACGCCTGGTACGTAGAATTGTAGCTCCCCAGGGTACTTGCTACTAGATATAGGCTTCACTCTGCGGCTGCTGCTCGTGGCCTACATTGACCTCAACATCGCTCCTCTCCGCAGGATATACGCCTGGTACGTCGTATGGTAGCTCTTCTTGATCTGAACATCGCCCCGCTCCGCAGAATATACGCCTGGTATGCCTGGCAGCCTTTAGGAGAGCTCACTCTGCTGCTGCTGCCGCCGTCGCCGCACCGCCGCACAGGACCCTCCGACGTCGCCACACCGCCGCACAGGACCCTCCACCGTCGCCACCGCTGCCGGCGCCTGAACTTCGTTCAGCTCCTTTCCTGTCGTCCCTCCGCTTCTCTGCCCCTGCGCCCCTCCGTTTCCGCAGGGCCGTACCCACAGAGGCTGCACTGGCAGCTGTGAAGGCGGCCGCAGCAGGGGGGAAGGGGGTGGTGGAGGTGAGCGATGGGGACAGGCACAAGGGGGAGTGTGATTGGGAAATCGTCCTGGCATGAATGCGTGTTGTTGAGCTGACTGACATGGCATATCATGGCATGTCATCGCTTATCATAACGTGTCGTATGATCATATCTCTGGGACCACCACCATAACAGCTGGGCTCCACTGCGTCTCAGAAGTAGACATGGACGTAACCTTTCGTTCGGTGCTCACCATAACCATGGCAGGTGGGCGCAGGAACGGGTTATTGGGCTGCCCTGCTGAGGAGGAGAGGCGTTGACGTGGCAGTGTATGATTGGACGCCTCTGGGCAGCACTAGAAGCACAGGCAGCAGCAGCAGCAGCAGCAGTGGCAGCGATGGCACTAGCAGCTGGGTGAACGGGCACCATGTGCTTCCCATGGCATCGGCATGTCAGATGGTCAACGTGCCACCGTTCACACATGTGGCTGGTAAGTGCATCTCTTGAAAAGTTTGTACTACGGTGCCTATGTGTGTTGCTGGCTAATTAGCAACAGTTGTTTTAATCGACTCAAAAGTCAACATGGCATCGGCTGTCAGCTGGTCAATGTGCCGTCCTTTACACATGTGGCTGGTAAGCGCCTCTGACGTCGTTGTTACAACAATTTGGGTAGCTGGTTACCAAGTAACAGACACTCACTCACATCATTCGCTCAATCACCCTGTGCACCTCGTTCTTCCACGCCCTTGAATTCTTCAGAAGGAGATGCTTCGGTGTCTGCACAGCATCCTGACCGTTCATTGCTGCTGTGCTGGCCACCACCTGAAGAAACAGAAGCACCAGGTATATCAGCAGCAGAGGGGGGAGCAGCACAAAAGGCAGCAGCACAGGGAGGAGCAGCAGGTAGGTTACCGATAGATGGGGGAGTAGCAGCAGGGGGAGCCGCAGTGGGAGCAGCAGGAGGTGATTCAGCATCAGCTGCTGAGATGCCATCTCTGGCAGCTGACGCCTTGCTCCACTACAGGGGATCCACTCTGGTATTCATTGGGGAATTCCCACTTCACTTCCTACAAGCACACACCCTGCAGTCAAGTGACCCCTCCCTACAGTCACACTCGTCTCAGTTGCCCTCGTACCAGCCGCAGACCGCTGGCCCACGGTTTCTCTCCATTTTGGAAAAGGAATGGGTGCTGGCTGAACACGTGGCTCTTCCCAATTGGCCAGGGACGCACGACTGTCTGACAGTCTGGAGAAGAAAGGGAAGTTTCAGCAGTGACGGAGCCCTTGCACGAGACAACAGCAAGTGTGACAGTAGTGGAGGTGATGCTAAGCTACATTGCAGCTGCGAAGGCAGTGACAGAAGCGGAAGAATAACAGAAGACAACAAAGAATCGTCTCATTTTCCTGGCGCCTCCGACAGGGCAGATTTAATTAAATGTCAGCGGCAGCACTGGGACGACGCAGTTATGGGAAGGCTTTTCCTATCCCCATCTAATGCGTGTGGCGGATCAGCGACAGACGCTGAGATTGTTCAAGCAATGGAGATGGAGGCGGTGAGAGGTTGGCTCCTTAGAACTTCGTGGTCGAGACTGATGGGTGGTTTACCTTTGCTACTCATTTCCCCTTGGTAGAAGGGGCTGGGTAAAAGCAAAAAGGCTATTTAAGCTAGAGGTTCCACAATAATGTATCACTAAGTTTTTATTTCGTACTGGCTCACGACATTGCGGGGTACACACGCCTGGCTCTGCGCGTTTGGGAAGGTTCACGCGCCTCCAACTGCGATGTACACCTGGCACTCACCCGTGCCGCCACTTCAGGTCGCTCTTTCTGGACGGTCCAGCTGGCAACGTCTCCTCTCGTCACGAAGATTTGTTACAAATATCGCGAGAATTCGTTCGCACTCATCTGCTTTGTCCAGGCTCCGATTTTGTCCCCCTCCTCCTCGCCTGTTCCCGCCGGAAAACTCGTTTGCTCATGCACCACCGATTCTCCTTTCAGTTGAGCATACCGATAGCTATTCCTCATCGAATTCATAATCACCCTCCATTCCACCATTCGCTCCAGATTCTGTTAGATGCGAATCACCACCGTCTGCGAATTCGCCAGCCGCCACGCATCGATTACATTCCACGCAGCGTCAGGTCACCAACAATTTCCTTTTTAACGTAATCATGGCGTCAGTTGCTTCAGTCGCCGCGACTGTCACGGCCTCCGCTCTCCCACATAGACTGACCGCGACTGCCAAGCCTTCCTCAGCCGCACACTCGAGTCAAGCAGACCCTCGTGCTGCCGCGGCGTCTCTAGCTGTTCGCATGGACTCTCAGGGCGTTCGCTTGCGCGGTAGGCTCGGCAGCTCGTTCGGGGGAGCGTCGGTGCTGGAGCGGCCAGGATTGGACCAATCAGGAGGAGAGGACGGCGCTCCGAAGACGGACGCCGGCGGAGAGATGGGGCAGCTGAAGCAGCGGATGCGGAACGGAGGCGGAGATCGGTACCGCGTGCTTCTGTTGGACCACGAGAAGCACACCGAGGATAGAGGTGCTTACTTTGTGCTGTCACCTCGCTTCAGCTTGTTTCTGTGGTAACCGAAAACCGTTTCCCTGGTTCGAAGCGGAGGAGTTTAGGGAGGAAGGGGATAGGGAATGGGTGGGGGGGTGAGGAGGTGGGAGCGAGGGGGAAGGCTTGCGTCGTCATGATCTCTTTGTTTTTGGTTCGATTCTCACGAGTTCATTTCGCTATTTTCACTATCTCTTCAAACGTTCCCCATGTGCTCGCTCTGTGAATCAGTGGCGAAGGTGCTGCCAACAGTGGTGCCGTCAGTCACGGCGGACGACGCGCGGCGGGTATTCAACGAGTCCAGGGAGCTGGGTCAGGGGCTCGTCTGCGTCGCTATCAAGGTAACAATTTTCTTTCATTACCTTGAGCTACTTATGTTCGTTCGTTTTCTATATTATGCATGGTTATGATGGGAGTTGTGGCGGCTGAATGAGGGTTCTGGGAGGGTTGTGTGATGGAGGGGGTTGGTTGGGGTACTTTTAACACCAGTTTCATACATGCTTGACTTGACGGTTGTCTCCTTGCCGTGTGCAGGAACATGCTGAGTTCTATGCGCAGCACATGGCTATGAAAGGTCTGCGTTCCACCATCCAGCCTGATGGCCTAGTCGTTTAATCGGAATAAGGGTTGTTGTACCGTATCTCTCTAGATGGTAGCGTAGTAGAGTTTGCCATTTATGTATTTATTTATGATGGATATATGCTTATAAATGATGTAGCTGTCACCTTATGAAATATTTCGTTCATGTGTTATGATAGTCATACCCGTATTGTTTCTTTTGGTTTGATGTAGGCGGCATGTGTGTTGGGCTTATGACAAGACCTTTTTCTGGTCAGCAGGGTTGGGTTCGGTGTACCGCTGAGATGGAATTATTGCCCCGAAGATGCAGGTCAAGGCTTCTGACACACACCTCTTCACTTGCCCGAGCCTGACCATTTTCCCTCCCATTCCATTTCCCAGCTCGCACTCGCGATACGGGAACAGGAAAATTCGGCAAGATCGAAGTTCAGGCGCAGGCCTGCTCTGCGCCACTGTCCTGTCAAGCAGTCCTCCCCCCTGTTTTTCCCGAACTTCCCGCGCCCATCCCGGCGAGCGACTCAATTCCTCCCCTCGCCCCTCTGCTTCCTTCTGCACGTGATTCTTCCGCCACTCTGCTCCCCGCCTCCACGTGGTTCTCCCGACCCTCGCCCTCCGTGACTCTGTCCCCTTCCCCCACCCGAAATCGCTCCGCTCATCCCCCACCTCGCCAGATTCACATCCCTAGACCCGGCCCAGAGTTGCCATGACCTTCAGTCAATAGGAAGGAAATCTCGAAGTTTTCTTGTCAGAGGACATATCAGCAGCAATAGCAGTAGGTGTCTCGTTTGTGTTGGCTACCATGGCTGCGTTAGGAAGGCTCGCCTGTGGGCTTGCTCTATTCTGTATGCTGTCCGGTCTGCTTGCCGAGGCGGCCGTGCACGAGTATAATGGCGGGAAGTTCTTCCAAGCGTCTGATGCTTTCCTCTTCCGAGGCGGACGCGAAGGTCTCTTCGCATCCACGCCTGAAGCAGTTCGCCGTTGGGTGGACATCCCGAGAGGAGTCGCAAACGGAAAAGCGTACATCCGGTAGGAAAGATGCTGGTAGTCTAGATGCCTTGGCAAACGGAAAGGCGTACGTCACTTCGGATTCGATCCGTAGATTAATCAGCAACAACAAACTTGCGTGAATGGCTGGCGAATGAACGCAACTCTCGTGAATACTGTTTGTGTTTTCTATAGATCGTGAGAGAGCACAGCTCAACATTCTTTTCGCAGGCTCCCTCGTGGCTGCTCCTATTGATAACTTCCGGGTCCTGCTAGAATCATGCATTGCCGTCGCGGACGCAAGTTTCCTCTACTAATTCGTGGTTGTTTTGATTTGTAATACCGTTCTTCTGTTTGGGTTGGAATTCGCATCGTCGTGCACACAGGTTCGACAACCTAAAGTTCCATCGGCCGCTTTCCGAGGCTCAGGTGGCACCGATCGCCGGACAGACGGGGAGAATCGAGGCGCTGTTGTTCGAGGTGAAGGACCGCGACCGCATCGGCTATGCGTCTGCTTCCAACATCCGCGCGTTCTGCTGCTCCCCCGAGCTTGTTCAACGGACAGGATGTAACCCTGGACACATCATCGTACGGCCGAGAGACGGCGATAACCAGGTATGGGCAGATTTTCTTCGGATCCGCGAATATGATACCCAGATTCGTTTCCATCTGGAAGAGTCCAAAGTTTTCTGCCTGTCTCGTCTAGCAAGTACGTTGGAAGGTAAGAATGCTGAAAGTGATCAAGCAAACAGCTTGCCGATAACTCGCATGGTCCCAGCGGCACCAGAATGATTTCACGTCCAGCAGTAACGCAAGAGACAATGGACGAGGAAGAATGATCCATCTTGTAACGATCAATCAAGAATGGCTGCCGGCCCGAAATAATCCATCTTGTAACGATGCTCGTTCATTTTGTTTTTCACCCGGAATGATCCGCAGTGGCCCCGCGTGGTGGAGATCAGCTTCATTGGCAACGACACGGCGGTGGCAGTGGCGCCGTCCGAGATTCACATCACAGCGCCGGGCATGTACTACCTCTCAACAAGGTTGCTCATATTTGACCCGTTCCTCTTCCACCCTGTATGATCCACTCCACTCCACAGTGGCCTCGCGTGGTGGAGATCAACTTTATCGGCAACGACACGGCGGTGGCGGTGGCGCCGTCGGAGATCCACATCACAGCGCCGGGCATGTACTACCTCTGGTTCGTCATCTGCGACAAGAGCCTCGCTGGCGTGGCTGTCACCGGGACGACCATTTGGAAGAACCCAGGCGGGTATCTGCCCGGCATGATGATGCCTTACCTCAACTTCTACGCCGTCATGTCCATGGTGAGTGGTGTTTTCTTGACTTGATTGTGAAAATCCACCCATTTTCCACGCCGGGCCCCCACCCTCTCCCAACAGGCCGTATTTGGTGCTGGGCGTGGTGCGGTTCCTGCATGACGCGCGCTTCTTGCGCGAAATTCATCCCCCTCCCCCCCCCCCACACCCCTTCCAACCCCCCTTTTTTCCTCCCCCTCCCCTCCCCGTCCTCCCCCTCCCCCAGGCGTACCTGGTGCTGGGCGTGGTGTGGTTCATGCAGTACGCGCGCTTCTGGCGCGACATCCTGCAGCTGCAGAACTGCATCACGGCCGTCATCGCGCTCTCCATGCTGGAGATGGCCACCTGGTACTTCGACTACGTCAACTTCAATGCTGGCGGATTCCGACCGTATGGGACGACGATCTGGGCGGCCACGCTCGGCGCGCTGCGCAAGGCCGTGTCGCGCGTGCTCGTGCTGATCGTGGCGATGGGGTATGGCGTCGTGCGACCGACCCTGGGCGGCCTGTCAGGGAAGGTACGCTCTGGGAAAGCAGGGGCGAGGGAAGGGAAGAGGAGAGGGATTGGGCTGTGAGGGGGAGGGGGGTGTGAGGGGGAGGGGGATGTGAAGGGGAGTTATGGGCGCTCTCCATGCTCGAGATGGCCACCTGGTACTTCGACTACGTCAACTTCAACGCTGGCGGCTTCCGCCCGTATGGAACGACGATCTGGGCGGCGACGCTCGGCGCGCTGCGCAAGGCCGTGTCCCGCGTGCTGGTGCTGATCGTGGCGATGGGGTATGGCGTGGTGCGGCTGACGCTGGGCGGGCTGTCAGGGAAGGTACGCCCAGGGTGGGGGAAGGGGGGAAAGAGGAGGGGGGGAACGGGAGGGGGTGTTGCGTGGGGGAAGGGGGGGAAGAAGAGGGGGGGAACGGAAGGTGGGAGATGTTTGTGAAGAATGAGGGGGTATCATGGGCTGGGGAGGTGAGAAAGAAGAGTGTGGAAAACACAGGGTCACGGAGGGAGTGCGGCGAGTGTGGAAAGCAGGGTAAAGGGCTGGAAGTGAATCGACGAGAGAATAGTGTGGAGAGCAAAGCGACACAGGTGGAAGGGAATGAGAGGGAGGGTGAAACACGATGAAGTGGGCGGAAGAGGGAATGCAAGGCGAGGAAGCTTGTAGGGGGGAAGTGACAGGAATTGGAATGCAGTGGAAGGAACTGAGAGGGGGAAAGAATGTAGTAGAAGATGTACAAGTAACTCTCAGCAACAGTGTACCTTGGCTTCCTGTTACTCGCCTCCCGCCTCACCCTCTCGCCTCTTCCATCAAGTGATGGCTTTGGGCGCGGAGTACACTTGTGTGGTGGAGCTTCTCGATGTGATGCAGAACGTGGGGGCTCCACTTCCTGCCTCCTCAAATTTGTAACCTCTTTCCCCCACACCCCCTTCACACCTCTTACCCCCTTTGGGCAGGTGATGGCGCTAGGTGCGGGGTACTTCTGTGCGGTGGAGCTGTTGGACGTGATGCAGAACGTGGGGGGCATCGACGACCTCAACAGCAGCGAACGCCCCTTCCTGTCTCGTCCTCCCTGTAACCCTTCTCCCCCACATCCCCTCCACACCTCTTCACCCCACACCCCCTCCCGTCTCCTTACACCAGGTGATGGCGCTGGGTGCGGGGTACTTCTGTGCGGTGGAGCTGTTGGACGTGATGCAGAACGTGGGTGCGATAGACGACCTGAACAGCAGCGAGCGCCTCTTCCTCGTGCTGCCCGTGGCTGTGCTGGACGCCATCTTCATCCTCTGGATCTTCTCCTCGCTCTCCAAGACTCTCTCGCTGCTGCAGGTATGGTCATAGTGTTGTGGAGAGAGGGGGGCGGCACAGTGCTCTTGTTGCTCCTGGGTTCCTGGGTGGAAGCGTGTGTGCAAGGAGAAAAGAGTGGCAGCGTGTGTGCAAGGATAAAAGAGTGGCAGCGTGTGTGCAAGGATAAAAGAGTGGCAGTGCTGGACGCCATCTTCATCCTCTGAATCTTCATCTCGCTCTCCAAGTCGCTCTCGCCGCCGCAGGTGGGTTCAGTGCGGATGGTGTAGCTGCAGGTACGGTCACATTGCGTGCTGTTGTTGCAGGTACGGTCACATTGCGTGCTGTTGTTGCAGGTACGGTCACATTGCGTGCTGTTGTTGCAGGTACGGTCACATTGCGTGCTGTTGTTGCAGGTACGTTCACATTGCGTGCTGTTGTTGCATGTACGTTCACATTGCGTGCTGTTGTTGCAGGTACGTTCACATTGCGTGTTGTTGTTGCAGGTACGGTCATACTAGGTGGGGCACAGTGCTCGCGTTCCTAAGCGTCTGTGGAAACTCAGGGGAGATTGGGTAAAAGAGGTTGCAAAAAGGGGATGAGGGGACGATGACCGTCTTGTTAGTTGGCTCATTCCACTTGATTTGAGTGAATGAGCAGCCACAGTTTGTGCCAGCCTATGAGATTGGCTGGAATGATGCTTTTCCTTCGATCTCTCTGTATCTGACTTCGCATGCCTATCCATGCCCTTTCATGTCCATTCATGCCCGTTCATCCCCATTCATCCCCATTCATGCCCATTCATTCCCTCCTGCCTCCTTCCCCCCCTCGCGCCACCAGACGAAGCGCACAGGGTCGAAGCTGGAGCTGTACCGCAAGTTCACCAACGGCATGGCGCTGGCCGTGCTGGTGTCGGTTGCATGGATTGCATATGAGGTGCGTATTGAACTGAACCACTCTGTACCAATGCGAACGGGCTACGCACTGCTTTGTACCCATGCTGTTCCTCTAATCCTTTGTGGCTTCCTTGTGAGTTTCATTATGCAAGCTTTGCATTGTTAGGTACTCTATGTACCATTTAGACCAAAGTTTCTGTGACATTGCTTGGCCCAATATAGCACCGTGTCTGACACTCCACCTGTCATTTGGGTCGTCTCAAAAGTCACCAATTCAGCACCCTGTCTGGCACTCCACCTGTGTATCTGATTCTTTCCAGATGCATGTGCGACTGACTGTCTCGCAACCGTTAGATTCCCAAAAGTCCCCTTTTCCGTGTCTGCTTCTCCATATCCATCCCCTCGCCCAGATGTATGTGCGGCTGTCAGACCCGTACAACGAGAGGTGTTTTCTGAGGCGCTTTAAATAGCCAAGCAATCTTTCACCCCATATCTGTCCCTTGTGCAGATGTATGTGCGGCTGTCAGACCCGTACAACGAGAAGTGGGAGGCAGATTGGATCACGGGGTGCTTCTGGCACCTGCTGCAGTTCGTGCTGCTCTGCGCCATCTGCGCGCTCTGGGCGCCCTCCCTCAACTCCACGAGGTATGCACACGTGAATGCGGGCAAGTAGGTGTCTATGCTCCAACACTTGTGGGAAGTATGCTCTCCCACACTTGTGGCACCTGCTGCAGTACGTGCTGCTCTGCGCCATCTGCGTGCTCTGCGTGCCCTCTCTCAACTCCACCAGGTGTGTACACCTTAATGCTCTCCCACTTGTTATGTTCATTTTCTTCCACATAAGTTCCCTCGAATGCTCGAGATGGAGAGATTAGTGGTGATGATGTGATGCATGCAGCAACAGCTGTTTAGCTGTCCCTTGCACCTGACCTATGATCATGTTGTCAGTTACTATGACATTCACTTGTCGCAACCTTGCCAATAATACACACCCTTTCTCCATCCAGATACGCATATTCGGAGGACGTTCCAGAGGATGATGATGACGTTGCGCTTACGTCAGCATCCGTGGCTTCAGCGAAAGCAGAGGCAGGGTCTGCAGCAGAAAAGAAGCCGATAAACACGGACGTGTTTTCACTAGAAGATGAGGTGGAAGAGGGGAAACTGGAGTGAAAGTGGTCTATGGTGTGTGATACTTTTAGCAACGGTGCTTGACAAAAATATAGCATGTAGGGTAGGATGGTTGATTTGATAGTTCAGAAGTGTCGAGATATAAGTATTTGGTTTTACACTAATAGTACCGCCACAAATAAAGAAGGCTGTACAGGAGTAAGTTTGCCTACATTGGTGTCCTTTCCAACATATTTCCGTGCTAACACTGTACCCGGGACTACACCATACAGCGGATGTTCCGCGTGGAACATAGAGAAACTTGCACCATCTTGTCACTCTTGTGCTTGACGTCATTATTCATGATTCTTGATAGAAGTTCGATTTGACCGTTTCCTGTCCTGTTCTTAGGCATACCCGTCGGGTCGGGTTTCCGGTTTTCACACTTCCTGTCGTCAGACAGACAGGAGACGATTGTCGATCCGGTCGTTCCTCCTCGGTTCGCCTCTATCTTTCGCTTCTTTGAAGGGTGTGACGACCTATGACTTTTTAACGCGGGTTCTGACAGCCAACTCGGGAGTAGCACCTGGCAGGGGAAAGAAGTAGAGTTTGCGGAATCGAGGACAGGCATATAGTTCTGTACCGCATTCAACAGATCGGCCATGTCTCTCCACCGTATCCTCCGCCGTTCCTCCCGCTATCCGCACCACTGCGCACGATTCGCACGCCAACTCGCATCCGCGTCCGCCTCCCCCCACGCGCCCCCGTTTTTAACTCTTACCGACAATTCCGCCGCTTCCGCCGTTTCCGCCGTTTCTGCCGATTCCACGTCCCCTTCTCCGCACAGACAATGCCCGTCCATTCACGGGTTTCCGCGATCCTTCCAGCAGCAAGTTTGCAGCTTCCAGTTGAGTGGCTCCTTTCACCGCATCCTCGTGTTGGGATTCTTTCACTCCGTTCGCTATTCTGCATTGTTCATCAACGCGCAGTGCAACCGCTCAATGTGCAAGGGTAAAGTTTCCAGTGCAGTGGTTGCATGATAGCCCCGTGATAATGGATAACTTTCTCACGAATAGGGACTTGAGAGACGTTTTAAGACTTCTTATGACCTCGTTGGATCCTTACTAAGCCATTTATAATTAATTCTCTTCATGTACTGCCTGATCAGGTCGGTTGCAACCCTGTCCATATCCGCGTTATTGTCATCAAGTGGTGATGGTGCCACCACTGCAGCCACTGCTGCCGATCCCGCTACCGTACCAGCAGACACTGATGATGAATCCGCTGCCGTATCAGGTAAATCCGAAGCTTGTTCGCCTGATTCCTCTTCCCTTTTTACCCTTTAATCCACTCAACGCCATGGTTTGAGAGTTGACTCAAGAGGCATCTTTCCTTCCTCGTCCGGACACAGAGAAGGTTTCTGCAGACCAGGAAGGACTTCTGTCAACGCAGAACTCCTCCCTCACTGTCGTTCCCTCTCCCTCTCGCCCCCCCTTCCATTCCCACAGAGCAAGTATCAGAGGACGATCTGACGCCAGCCAAGGTGGTGGAGCTCTTGGATCGGCACATCGTGGGACAGTCCTCTTCCTATGGTGGTGATTCAAGGTTGCACCCACACTCTACCACCCTCCTATTCGTCCGCCTTTCCCTCCTCTTCCCCCTCCCCCCCACAGAGCAAGTATCAGAGGACGATCTGACGCCAGCCAAGGTGGTGGAGCTTTTGGATCGGCACATCGTGGGGCAGGCACAGGCCAAGCGAGCCGTTGCCATCGCCCTGCGCAACAGGTGCGGGCTTAAGCTGCGCTTGGCTTGATTTCACGGTTTGCTTTTGAGACGTCTCAATAGTCAGGTGCCGGCTTAAGCTGCGCTTGGCTTGATTTCACAGTTTGCTCAGCAGTTGTTTATTATCTCTGCTCTTTGTAGCGAGGTTGTTTTTGAGACGTCTCAAAAACAACCTCGCTACACGTGAGCTCACAGTTTGCTCAACAGTTGTTTATCATCTCTGCTCTTTTAGGGATGCGGAGGATTTTTCCTTTCTCCCTCCCACATCTCCCCTGCCCTCCATCCCGCCCCTGCCTTTCCTTCCTCACTTATCCATCCTCGCGCGTCTGGGAGCAACAGGTGGCGCAGGAAGCGCATCAGCTGGCCAATGAGGGACGAGGTGAGGTGGTGCCCAAGACCATTCTCATGGTCGGCCCTACCGGCTGTGGGAAGAGCCCTGAGACGTCTCACACCTCGCCTGCCCTCCCTCCCACCCCTGCCTTCCCCCCCACCCCTATCCCCCTACAGGTGGCGGCGGAAGCGCATTAGTGGGGCCATGCGTGATGAGGTGATGCCAAAGAACATCCTCATGGTCGGCCCTACCGGCTGTGGGAAAACCGAAATCGCCCGGCGCCTTGCTAAGCTCATCCATGCGCCCTTTGTCAAGGTATGCCCGCCATGCCAAATGTAAGCCGTCCTGAACAAAGGAGTTGTGAGTCGACTCGCGAGGTGGTGCCAAAGAACATCCTCATGGTCGGCCCCGCTGCCTTTGGCAAGACTGAAATCGCCCGGCGCCTTGCGAAGCTCATCCATCCGCCCTTTGTCAAGGTGCGCTTGCCTTGCCGAGTTTGAATGAATGGTCTTGACTAGAGGACGTTTGAGTTGACTCAACAGTCACCATGGTTCCATGCACCCTTTGTCAAGTTGTCCTCGCCTGGTTTGAGCCATCTCAAGCGTGTGCCTTCACGAGCTTCTGTGTCCACGTGTGTCCATGCAATCTGCCCCTTGCAATGCACTCCCTGGCGGCAGGTAGAGGCGACCAAGTTCACAGAGGTGGGCTTTCACGGTCGCGACGTGGATCAGATTATCCGAGACCTGCTGGAGAACGCCATTCAGCTGCAGAGGCAGAAGGTGTGTAGGGAACCTGAGGAGCAGCCTTAGGCAATATTTGAGGCGTGTTGAGGCGTGTTGAAGATCTCAAGTCCTGCTGGAAAATGCCATTCGGATGCAGAGTCAGAAGGTGTGTAAGGGCTGTCTAGGAGCCTCTGCCAAATTCCGTGGCATCTCAGGCGATGGTTTTCAGGAGCCTCAGGCGATGGTTCTCAGGAGCCTCAGGCGATTTTGGAGGCGCCTGAAAATCAGGCCATACGAAACATGCAGGAAATCACCGTTCACCTGGTGAGGAACAAGGTGCTCTTGGCTTGTCGTGTCCTCCTCCTCACCATGTCTAAAATTTTCATCAAAACTTAGTTGTGGATTGTCATCTGAATCTCGTTGTGCGGTCGGAGGGTTGGAGGTAGACATGAGCACAAGGGGTTCGAGGCGAACCGAACAGGTTTGTTTTTTTTGCTTAAATTGTTCGCCGAACAGTGTTCGATGTTCGCCCGAACACGTTCGTGTTCGGGCCGCTGCTGCAATTTGCCCCGCGACGAACACGAACGTGTTCGAGGTTCGCCCGAACACGCCTTCACAGGCGAACGGCGAACACCTGTTTTTGCTTAAAGTGTTCGCCGAACCGAACAGTGTTCGGTTCGGCAAACGGATGTGTTCGTCTAGGGGCGAACACGAACATGTTCGTGTTCGCCCCTTGCTCATCCCTAGTTGGAGGGCAAGTTTTGGTGTGTGTTTTAATGTGCTTTATTCGAACCTCCCTCGCTGTGCCCTTACCACCCATCACTCTCCGAACCTCCGTGTCAGGCCCGGGGCAAGGCGGCCAAGGAGGTGGAGGAGGTGGTGGAGAACAAGATTCTGGACCATCTGCTGGGCGCGCTACAGCCGGGCGCGGTGAGTCAAGCAGGTCAACGCGGTCAACCAGGGTAACTTCAAATCCATATACTCAACTGGCCATGAGTCAGTCAATTGGTTAGCTTGTCAGTCAATGCAGTTAATGCAGTGCCAACGAGGTGGAGAAGAGGAGGTGGTGGAGACTAAGACTGATTGGCTCGCTCCCTCAGTTGATCGCTCCTTCTCTTGGTCTGACTGGCTCTTTCCATGCCCTCTCGTCCCTTCCCCCCGCATGTCTCTCCTCCCTCCGCAGTCGCCCCCTCTTAAACGGGAGACCCTTCGTCTGCTGTACAGGGAGGGTGTGTTGGACGACAGGCGAGTGCACATGAGCTGCCTGACGTCGCTCCTCCTAGTCATGCTGCTGTTGTTTCTTCTGCTGCTTCTTCGGCTGGTCATGACGCTGCTGTTGATGCCCGTCCCCTCCCCGCTCCTCCCCCCTCCTCCCCACCCTCTCTCCCCCCGAATGCCACCCAGACACCCCCTTCCAGGGAGACCTTTCGGCTGCTGTACAGAGAGGGAGTGTTGGACGACAGGCGAGTGCACATGGAGCTGCCTGACGTTGCTCCCTCGGGTGATGCTACTGCTGTGGCTGGTGGTCGTGCCACTGCCTCTGCTGCTGCTGATGCCCCCTCCTCCCCTCCCCACCTCCACCCCCTTACCCCCCAAATAATACCCAGACACCCCCTTCCAGGGAGACCTTTCGTCTGCTGTACAGGGAGGGAGTGTTGGACGACAGGCGAGTGCACATGGAGCTGCCTGACGTCGCTCCCTCGGGTGGTCTGGGCGGGTTCGCCATCGACATGTCGGGCGCTGCTGGGCTCAACGTGCATGACTTCGTGCAGCGGGTGGGTGGGTGGTGTCTTCAGGGAATATAGGTGTGCGTGAGTACAAGGGTGTGTTGGACGAGAGGCGAGTGCACTTCGCTCCCTCGGGTGGTCTGGGCGGATTCGCCATCGACATGTCGGGTGCTGCTGGCCTCAACGTGCATGACTTCGTGCAGAGGGTGGGTGAGTGGGGTGGGTGGTGCAGTGGGTGGGTGGGGTGGGTGGATGTGGCACGTGGGTGGGTGAAGACTGTAGTGGGTGGGTGAAGACTGTAGTGGGTGGGTGAAGACAGTGCATCTCCCTTCTTCGCACCCCTACTTCCCCTCCTCTTCCCTTCGTTTTCTCCATCTGAGGTATCAGATGGAGCGTGTGGTGGGTGCGCGGGGGGGGAGTAGAAGGATTCTTCTTCCCTCTCCATTTTATTCCCCATATTCTTTCCCCCTATCTCCTGTTTCCTGCTGGGCATCAGATGGAGAGAGTGGTGAAGGGAGCGCGGAGGGAGAAGAAGGACCTGACAGTGGCGGCACCTCACATCCTTCCACTCACGATACCCCCGCTCCTCCCTCTTACGCCCCCCCTCTTCCTCCCCTCCCACTCCCCTCGGGCATCAGATGGAGCGAATGGTGAAGGGAGCATGGAGGGAGAAGAAGGACCTGACAGTCAGCACACGGCAACTCCCTTCCTCTCACTTGCCCCACTTTCCCCCTATCTCCTGTTTCCTGCTGGGCATCAGATGGAGCGAGTGGTGAAGGGAACGCGGAGGGAGAAGAAGGACCTGACAGTGGCGGAGGCAAGGGCAGCGCTGACTGACGCAGAGATGGAGAAGCGGCTGTCGTCTGAGTCACTCGTGAAGGACGCGATCCAGGTGAGAGGAGAGATGTGGGGTGTTGAAGCTTGTTTGCAGTTGTGCAGGGAGGCGAGGGCAGCACTGACTGGCGCAGAGATGGAGAAGCGGCTGGCGTCTGAGTCACTCGTGAAGGACGCCATTCAGGTGAGAGAGGGGGGGGGGCTTTGCTGGTGGAGAGAGGGAGGGCATACTAGTCCTGGAATCTGAGTAAGTAAATGTTTATTGAGAATTGATGAGAACCAACTGTAAAGCGACATGGACGAGCAACAACATTGTACTCGCCGACAAGACCTACACTACACAATTTCTGCTCTCCTTCTCCCTCCTCCTCCCCTTCTCCCTCCCACCCTGCCCTTCCCCCCCTCACCTGCTTTCCCTTTTCAGGCAACGGAGTCGGAGGGCATAGTGTTTATCGACGAGATTGACAAGATCGTGCATTCCAGCGACACGCGGCACGGCGCTGATGCCAGCGCGGAGGGCGTGCAGAGAGACCTGCTGCCCATCATTGAGGGGAGGTAGGTGGGGCGTGCTGCTATCACTGAAGGGAGGTAGGGGTGCATCCTTGCAGGGAGGTAGGTATGGCGTCATGGCCATGGCATGGTGCTGATGCGAGTGCTGAGGGCGTGCAGCGGGACCTGCTGCCCATCATTGAGGGGAGGTGAGGCATTGTGCATGGTATGGTATGCATGCTTGGTAGGGCATGCTTGGTGGGGCATGCATGGTAGGGCATGCTTGGTGGGGCATGCATGGTAGGGCATGCATGGTAGGGCATGCATGGTAGGGCATGCATGACTGAGGGCAATGTGAGAATGGGCCGCATTCTCGTCACCGTCTTCCAATTCTCTCTCTGCCAAATCCTCGCTCCTCTCCCTGTCCTCCTCCTCCTTCCCCGCTGCCCATGCTGGCTTCTCCACTATCATCAGCATGGTATCCACCAGGCACGGAAACGTCATCACAGAGCACCCCACCATCCTCTCCACAGAGCACAGACTCTCCATTGCCTTTGCATCCCGTCTCCCCCTTACCCACCCCACCACCCTCTCCACCCCATCCTTCCCCCTCTCCACCCCTTCATCAGTGTGGTATCCACCAAGCAAAGCAACGTCAGCACGGACCACATCCTCTTCATCGCCAGTGGGGCCCTCACCGCCTGCCCCGCCGATCCACAATTCTTTCAACCCCAAACACTCAACCCTCTCCCATGCTTCTGCCCATCAGTGTGGTATCCACCAAGCACGGCAACGTCAACACGGATCACATCCTCTTCATCGCCAGTGGGGCCCTCACCGCCTGCCCCGCCGATCCACAATTCTTTCAACCCCAAACACTCAACCCTCTCCCATGCTTCTGCCCATCAGTGTGGTATCCACCAAGCACGGCAACGTCAACACGGATCACATCCTCTTCATCGCCAGTGGGGCCCTCACCGCCTGCCCCGCCGATCCACAATTCTTTCAACCCCAAACACTCAACCCTCTCCCATGCTTCTGCCCATCAGTGTGGTATCCACCAAGCACGGCAACATCAACACGGATCACATCCTCTTCATCGCCAGTGGGGCCCTCACCGCCTGCCCCGCCGATCCACAATTCTTTCAACCCCAAACACTCAACCCTCTCCCATGCTTCTGCCCATCAGTGTGGTATCCACCAAGCACGGCAACGTCAACACGGACCACATCCTCTTCATCGCCAGCGGGGCTTTCACCGCCTGCCGTCCATCCGACATGCTGGCAGAGCTGCAAGGGCGCCTTCCCATACGAGTGGAGCTTAAGGGGCTCACCAGAGAGGTGAGAGTTGACGGGTTCTAAAAGGATATAGGGTGAAGTGGAGGTGACTCCACCGCCTGCCGTCCATCCGACATGTTGGCAGAGCTGCAAGGCCGCCTTCCCATGCGAGTGGAGCTTAAGGGGCTCACCAGAGAGGTGAGTGGGCTTACCAATGAGAGGTGCAAGGGCTCTCGGGAGAGGTGCAAGGGCTCTCCAGAGAGGTCAAAGGGCTTACCAGAGAGGTCAAAGGGCTTACCAGAGAGGTCAAAGGGCTTACCAGAGAGGTGAGGGTCAGAGGCCTTTGCACAGGAGCAAGGGTCGAAGGGTTGTCTAGAGAGGAAGTACAAGGCACTAAAAGTGGAAGCAAGTTGAATGTGCGCCACATTCTCATGCTTCTGTCTTCAACCTTGCATGTTTTCCCATCCCTCAACCCCTCCCCTCCTCCTTTTCTTCTCCCTCTCCTTCGCCCTTTCCCGCCTGTTCCCCCCTCCCGTCCCCCCTCACATCAGGATCTGTACCGCATTCTGACAGAGCCTGAGGCGAACATGATTCGGCAGCAGCAGCTGCTGATGGCCACGGAGGGCGTTGAGCTTGTCTTTACCAAGTCTGCCATCCGGGAGGCTGCTGCCATGGCTGCTGAGGTGCGTTGCGGTGTGGCATGCAGTGCTGAGGTGTGGTGGTGTGCGGTGTGAGGGGTAGAAACGGTGGTGGTTGTGTTGCATGCAGCAGCTACTGATGGCCACAGAGGGCGTTGAGCTTGTCTTTACTGAGTCTGCCATCCGGGAGGCTGCTACCATGGCTGCTGAGGTGCGTTGAGGTCAGGTCAGGCATGCGCTTCTGAGGTGTGGTTGCGGTGCTGAGGTGTGGTTACGGTGCTGAGGTGAGGTTGCAGTGCTGAGGTGTGGTTGCGCTGCTGAGGTGTGGTTGCGCTGCTGCATGCATTGTGGTCTGTGAGGTGCGTTGGTACGCCTACCTCCCCAAGCCTGCTCACAGCCTTCTGGTGTGCTTCCTATCGACTCAAAAACAGTCTCTTTGGTGATCCCAGGATTTTGCAACGATGCTGTGCTGAAGAGTGTTCTCCCATGTGTGCATATGTGCGTGTGTGCATGTGTGCTTGCATGCATGTGTGCGTGCATGCATGTGTGCGTGTGTGCATGTGTGCTTGCATGCATGTGTGCGTGCATGCATGTGTGCGTGCATGCATGTGTGCGTGCATGCATGTGTGCGTGCATGCATGTGTGCGTGCATGCATGTGTGCTTGCATGTATGTGTGCTTGCATGCGTGTGTGGATGGGAGGATGGATGGCAGATCAATCACACGCTGGACAACATTGGTGCTAGAAGGCTGCACACGGTGAGTATGACTGTTGAGACTGGGCTTAGACTGGGTGAGGCTGGGTGAGACTGGGTGAGAGGACAACTGTTGAGATGCCTTGTTGCGAGTTTGCATGTGGTGTGAAAGACTCAAGTGAGACTTCCACCTTGCATCCCCTTGCATCCCCTTGCATCCCCTTGCATCCCCTTTCATCCCCTTGCATCCCCTTGCATCCCCTTTCATCCCCTTGCATCCCCTTGCATTTTCCCGTGCATGTTACTCCCGTGCACCCATGGCACCATGGCAGGTGTTGGAGCGGGTGGTGGAGGACATGAGCTTCCAGTCGACCATCCGTCCCATGCTTACGTCCCCTCACATCCCGCATGCTCCCTCCCATCCTCTCATCTCCTTGCACGCTTCCCCCCCCATGGCACCACGCCAGGTGTTGGAGCGCGTGCGGGAGGACATCAGCTTCCATGCGCCCGAGAGGAACGATGCAGAAATCTCATCTCAACCCCCCAATGCTCACCTTGCATCCCGTGACATCACATCCCTTCCATCCCCCCCCCCTCCCCCCACACGCATGGCACCCATGGCACCACGGCAGGTGTTGGAGCGGGTGGTGGAGGACATCAGCTTCCACGCGCCCGAGAAGAAGGGCGAGACATGTGTGGTGGATCAAGAGGTGCGCCTTGCTAAAAATATGCGATTCGTTTTTTAACCTTTGTTCTACGGTAATACCATATGGCACGTGTACGATATTACCTGGATAGTACGAGGAATGGACCGTAACAGGTCCCTTCAAACCAGTCTCTGATTTTCACTCCCTGTGGCTTTGCATCCTCTTCCCTTGCCACCACCCCTTACCCTTGCCTACCACTCCCCCCACTTTACTTGCTCTCAGGACGTTCGACGGCCGCTGGGTGACTTGCTGCAGAAGGTCGATGTGTCCAAGTTCATTCTGTAACGCTTGCTGTCTCGTACCGTGTCAGTTACATATACGTAGAGTAGGCTGCATTTATACGTGTACAATACTTTGTATCGTAACATGTGACGTCATTCCATTACGAGCCATGTGAGCTGTTGAAATCCACCATAACAGGTCATGTTACCACGAGTGTTTGGCAGTCTAAATTAGTGCAGGAAGCAATGCAACTTGTCCAAGCACTAGTACATCAAGAGTGCCTGACTGACCTGTCTCGACCTTGTCCTAGAATGGACCTACACTTGAAACACGTAAAAGTTGTGTGCTTTTTATGTGGACCTTAGTATAGTAAGAGCATAAAACACCACATATATATATTTATTACCAAACTGCTTAGAGAAGGCACAAACACCACTAAGTCCAAACAGCAGCAAGCAAGCAGCCCCAAAGGTGTATACAGACCAGCCAGCCTGGATAGTAAGTAGTAGTACCGTAGGTTGCATAGGAAGATTGGTAAGAAACACTGAGCACAGCCACAGAACTTCTGCCACCACCACTGCCGCCGCTGCTGTGGCAATTGTAGCTTGTCCTTTACCTATCACCCCACCCATCATCCATTCCCTCGTCACCCCCAACCACCCCTCCACACACGCCCCGTCCCCCATCCCCCACTCCCCACCCTGCAGTTCCTATTTTTTATCATCTGCAATTTTCTCCCCTCCTCATTTACGCTTGGCCTGTTTCGGCCCCTTGTGCTGCGCTGCTGCGACAGCAGGGTTACCATGCCAGTTGCGCTTGCGCTGGTTGATGAACCAGTTGTTCACCTGCTTCAGCTCCAGCCCCGTCTGTGCCATGAGACGTGCCTTCTCCTCCTCCTGCATTGATGCACATGGACAGATGCAGGCAGACAGACAGAGGGATGCACGCGCACAGATAGGTGGGAGCACATGAGTTGCGCTTGCGCTGGTTGATGAACCCCGTCTGTGCCATGAGACGTGCCTTCTCCTCCTCCTGCATTGATGCACATGGACAGATGCAGGCAGACAGACAGAGGGATGCACGCGCACAGATAGGTGGGAGCACATGAGTTGCGCTTGCGCTGGTTGATGAACCCCGTCTGTGCCATGAGACGTGCCTTCTCCTCCTCCTGCATTGATGCACATGGACAGATGCAGGCAGACAGACAGAGGGATGCACGCGCACAGATAGGTGGGAGCACATGAGTTGCGCTTGCGCTGGTTGATGAACCCCGTCTGTGCCATGAGACGTGCCTTCTCCTCCTCCTGCATTGATGCACATGGACAGATGCAGGCAGACAGACAGAGGGATGCACGCGCACAGATAGGTGGGAGCACATGAGTTGCGCTTGCGCTGGTTGATGAACCCCGTCTGTGCCATGAGACGTGCCTTCTCCTCCTCCTGCATTGATGCACATGGACAGATGCAGGCAGACAGACAGAGGGATGCACGCGCACAGATAGGTGGGAGCACATGAGTTGCGCTTGCGCTGGTTGATGAACCCCGTCTGTGCCATGAGGCCTGCTTTCTCCTCCTCCTGCATGGGTACACATGGGCAGATGGACATGGAAGGAGCAGCACAGTCACAATCCCGAACAAGTAGATGTAGCGTGGTTGCTGACGTGGCAAGGAAGCAGGGAGGGGGACGCACCGTGGGGTAGGGCCACTGGATGTGCTCGTTCCACCACGCCTTGAGCACCTGCGTGGTGTTTCCTGGAAGCTTCCCTGCACGCCTCTTGCGCATGATCTCCTCCCTCACTCCCAGCAGGCGAGCGCGGAACCCCTGCGGAGCATGCATGGAGGTGCAAGGATTGAAAGGAGATTGAGTTGAGTTGAGATGAGTTGAGTTGAGATGAGATCGAGAACTTGCAAGTTTAAATGGGAATGACATAAAATACGGATAAATGGAAGCATGAAATACATGGAATCACCATACCTCTCTGCCGTATTCCTTGTGAAGTGCTTCTTCCACCGCACTCCTGTCCTGTGCTCCCCCCATGCCCATGCCCATGCCCATGCTCATGCCCATGCTCCCTGTCATGTCCATGCCCATGTCCGTGCCCATCCCCATGCTCATGCTGCCATGTGTCCCCATGCTCATGCTGCCATGTGTCCCCATGCTGCCATGCCCCCCCATGCCCTGCATTGCCCCGAATGCCATGGGTGCACCCATGCATGCACTCCCGCCCATGCCCGTGGTAGGGTGTGGCGGAGGAGGGAGTGGGAGGAGGGTGAGGGGCTGATTCTGCTGCTGCTGCTGTTGCTGCTGCTGCTGCTGTTGCTGCTGATGGTGGTGGTGGTGGGGATGATTTTGCTGCGAGTAACCCTGGAGCTGACAGTGAAACGAGCCTGACATGCTGCTACACCCGCCGCCGCCGCCACCACTGCCACTCCCACCAGCAGCAACAGGCATGAAGGAGTTGAGACGGTGACCATGGTCATTATACCCATTCCCTTGGCTATTGTAACCGCTGCCATGACTATTGTAACCGCTGCCATGACTATTGTTATACCCATGCCCATGCCCATTCCCATGGCTGTTGCATGAGTCCTCCAGGGCTCTAATGCCCCCATTGCTGCTGGGCCTATCCCCTCCTCCTCCCCCGCCCCCATCATCTGACATGGTAGCACCAGAAGCAGCAAGCTTGTGAGCAGCAGCGCCCCCAGCAGCAGCAACGGCGTGTTTGAGGCGGGCGCAGGTGGTAACGGCCTCCCTGGCATGCACCCGGATGTGCTCCTCCAGTTGCTCCTTGAATGCCCGCAGCAGCCCCACAAACTGGCCCTGGATTGGTTTCAGTGAGCGAAATGGAGGCGGAGCAGGGAAGGCAGGTGGGAGGGAGGGGCAAGTGAGCGAGGCAAGAAGAGAAATTCAGGGGGAAGAAATCTGAAACATGAGCACTGGTTTAAACAACTGCTGTAGCAGGAGGGGAGGTGAGCTGTGGCTCTCTTTTGGGTCAACTCAAAAGTAAAACTGAAACGTGAGCACTGGTTTCAACAACTGCTGTAGCGGGAGGGGAGGGGAGGTGGACTGTGGCTCTCTCACGTGCGCCTGAATTTGCTACTCTGGTGCTGCTCAGCCGCTCTTTGCTGCAGTCCACGTGTAATCAAGGAGGCCTCTCACAATACAAGCTAACACACACATTGGGTCGTGTTATGTCAGACTCACCATGAAATTGTCCAGCTCAGCTTCTTCCGATACAGACGCCAATCCCTGACCGCCACATGGCACGTTCCCATTGCCAGCAACCTTATCCCCAGCCACACCTTCTTCTTCTCCTCCTCCTCCTCCTCCTCCTCCTCCTGCTGCTGCTGCTGCTGCTGCTGCTGAGGCATTGTGAGCGGAAGAGGGAGAACCAGCGACAGCAGCTGCGGCATCTGATTTTGCAGTCCTAGCAGAGGTATCATTGGTACCATTGGTGTTGGCACCCTTGGTGGGGGGAGCCGAGGTGGCGTGGAGCATGCGAGTGTAGGTGGAGGCAACGAGATCAGCTCGCTCCATCTGCACCTGAATCAGCAGCAGCTGGTCCAGTGGCGTCGCCACCTGATGGGGGGGAGAGGTAGTAGGGAAAAAAGAAAGAGTGGTTGCGGGCCGAGGAAGAGACGAGGAGGAAATGTGTTTTGAGGCGTCTCGAAATCTGCATCTGCAGCTGAGTCAGTGGCAGCTGGTCCAGTGGCATCGCTACCTGATAAGGGGGAAACACGGGGATATTTGGGGGGGGAGAAAGTCACGAGGCAAACATGAGGACAGCTGGGAAGCAGAAGTTGTGTTTTGTGCAGGACAGCATGCAGAAGACAAAACAGAAACGAACATAGCTGAAGCGTGCAACAAAAACCGGAGGAGGTGGTTGTTGCGAACCAGGGAGAACACAAAAACGAGGTGTACCTCAAGGCATGCCACATGTGCGTTGAGCATCTGCTTATAAAGAGGATGAGATGCAATGAGCCCCTTCCACCTGGCCTTGTTCCTCTCCCTCTCCTCGTGGACCCTCTGTTGATCCACTCTCTCTACCACCTGCTGCTGATGCTGCTGCTGTTGCTGCTCTGCACTTGCTGCAACAGCAGTACCAGCACCAGCACCAGCGCCAGCAACAGCACTAACAGCAGCACCAGCACCAGCAGCAACAAGAGCAGTAGCAGCAGCCGCAGACAGGGGAAACAGCTGATGCTGCTGCTGCTGCTGCTGCTGATGGTTTTGAGTCGTCCCAGGAGCTGCTTCAGTGGGTGTCGCTGCTGCTGGTGCTGCTTGTGATTCTGTTGCTGCCGTTGCTGCTGGTGCTGCAGCTGATCCTGATGCTGCTGCTGCTGGTGTTGGCGTTGTCAGGGTGTCCGTATCTGGTGCCTTCACACATGCTGCAGGTGCTGCGGCTGCTGCCGTGAACGCTCCTTCCTCCTTCCTGTTTGTCAACTCATCTTGCACCCCTGCTCCACCACACGTCATCATGTCACCTCCTCGCACATTTCTCACATCACCATTACCCACATCGCCCATATCGCCACCTATACTGCCACCCTTCTGATCACCACCATGAGTACCACCGTTGCCACCATCACCCCCTTCACACTCCATTTCCCTCTCCTCTCCCTCCACCCTACCCTTCTCTTCTCTCCTCCTCACCTCCTCTCCTATAACCCTCACTTGCTCCTCCCCCATCCTCTCCTCTTCTCCTCCATTACTCACCTTTCCCCCTTCCAGCCTCAACGCCCCATGCCCAGCCTCCCCACCTTCTCCCAAGCCTGTTGCCGGGGGTGGCAAGCTCAGGCTCGGCATGTGGTCCAGGTTCGGTGCAGGCTGGTTCGGCATGGAGAGGCTCGGGGAGAGGTCAAGGGGGAGAACGCAGGGAGAGGAGTTACTGTGAAGCATAGAGGCATCAAGCTCAGGTAAGGAGAAGAAATGGGCGAGCTCGTGGTTTAGAAGGGTGGTGGGAGGTGAGGAGTGGTGGAGATGGGTGAGAGGGGAGCGGCGGTGGAGGGGGGAAGGAGGGGCGAGTGGGGAGGTGCGGTGGAGGGGCGAAGGAGGGGAGAGAGGGGAGGAGTGGTGAAGAGTGGAGGGGTGGTTGAGGGTTGAAGAGCGATGGAGGGGGGAGAAGCGTTGCAATGGGGAAGGCGGGGAGAGGGGTGATCGGGAGGAGGGTTGGGGGGATTTCAGGAAAGGGGTGGCACATGACTGCTGCTGCTGCTGCTGGTGCTGCTGCTGGTGCTGCTGCTGGTGCTGCTGCTGGTGGTGGTGGTGCTGGTGGTGGTGCTGCTGGTGGTGGTGGTGGTGCTGCTGGTGGTGCTGTTTCTGGTCCATGACGTGGTGATTCAATTGATTCGTGTGACTCAACGGAGCGCTGAGATTGAACGGGCCAGCATGACGCCAAGCAGGAGACGAGGAGGAATTCGGGTTTAGGCCTGCTTTGTCTTCTTGTGCCGGCCTGGTGGTGAGAAAGCCTCTGGAGAGGGCGATGGGGATGGAGAGGGGGCTGGGCGGCGGAGGGGCAGGGCGAGGGGGAAGGGCGGGCAGGGCTGTCGACGTTGCTGCAGAGGGAGTGTGGGGAGGAGGAGGAGGAAGAGAGTGGGGAGCAGCAGGAGAAGGGGTCGAGGCAGCAGCTGGTGTGAGAGGCGGGTGGGCAGCAGTCATGGATGCCGGTGCCAGGACAGCAGTACTAGCGCCAGTGACTGCAGCAGTTAAGGCACTGGCTGCAGCAGTGGCGGAGGCAGCAGCAGCAGCAGCACCAGCAGCAGTAGCACCGAGTGGGGTGTAACTGAAAGGGCGCTTCAGAGGTAATTTGCTCTGCCGGGGCAGAGAGTGGGGGGAGGAGCAGGGGAGGGAACGGGGGGAGGGGCTGGGGGGCGAGCCTGTCTTGTGCGCCAGGAGGGGTTGCAGCTGACGTTGAAGCTCCTCACAGCTCACCACTCGCATGCTTGATGTTGTTAATGCTGCTGGTGCCACTATTGGTGCTGTTGGTGGTGCTATCGCTGCTGGTGGTGGCGCTATTGGTGCTGCTGGTGGTAGTAGTTTTGCTGCTGGTTGTGGTATGGGCGATTTGGCTGCCATATGCAAGCGCGATTCTATTGGTGGCTGTGCCGCCACAACAAGTGCTGCAGATGGTGCTGCTGCTGCTGCCGGTGCTGCTCCTTGTGCTGCTGCCAGTCCGCCCGCATTCACCTTGTCTGTGACCTCCTCCTCAGATTTCCCTGCTTTGCCCGCTTTCCCTGCATCTCCTGCGTCTCCTTCATCCACGCATTCGCCCTTACCATGGGCTGGAGCTGCGCTGTCCATGTAACTGTTACTGTCACGGCGCACTAACTCTTTGCCATTCATCGCCCCCTCATTTGTCGAGCAGCGACTCAGCAAGCCGGCCACCGGTATCACCAGCTCCACACCCTGCTGACTCAGCATGCCGGCCAATGCCACCACAGGTTCCCTTCCTTGCTGAGTCAGCATGCTGGCCAGTATCACAGGCTCCCTCCCTTGCTGACTCAGCATGCCATCCAGTTTAAACCCCCTGCCATCACTGCTGCTGCTAGACGCCTGAGTTGCACCCTTCACCTCCCTCTCAAGCTCCGGTGTACTCGCAACTTCCTCCATGCCCCTGCAGCCTCCCGCATCATCTCCCTCTCCTTCCACTTGCATCGCCTCCAGAGTGTTCCCCTTATATTCTTCCTCTTTACCGCCAGTACCGTTGGTTGCACCCTTGGCAGCAGGCTGTGGTGCTGAGTCTTCCTCCATTGGCACTACCGCCTCGTGTTGAACTTCCTTCTTCTCATTCTTCTCATTCCCACTCTTCTCATTCTTCTCACTCTCCTCACTCTTCACAAGCTCAGTCTTGTGACTCTTGTCAATCTCACTCCCATTTCTCTCACCACCGCCGCCACCCTTATCAGTCTCGCCATTCTTCTGACTCTTCTCGCTCTTATCACTCTTCTCCTTCTCATTCTCAGACCCACGCCCACGACCACCCTCCCAGCTGCAGCAGCTCTCCCAATAACCATCACCATGGCTTCCCTTCTCCCCTCCCAGTCCATCACCATGGCTTCCCTTCTCCCCTCCCAGTCCATCACCATGGCTTCCCTTCTCCCCTCCCAGTCCATCACCATTCGTTTTCATCTCTTTTGAAAGGCCAAAGTAGCCATTCCCAGCGAGCATCAAGCTTCCAAGCTTCCTCGTTGTAGAACCAGGAGCCATGACTGTAACACTGCCGCTCACTCCGCCGTTCATGGCATCACCATACTCACACACGCACTGTACAGCACGCTCTGTGTGAAAGAGCTATCTTATTCCAGACCAGAGCCTCCCTCTCAGCACTCAATCCCCCTTCTTCCTTCCTGCAACTGTCCCTATCCCAAGCTTGTAAGCTGATTAAGAGGGCCTGGAAGAGGTTCGAGCAAGGTCGCTCGCAAGTCACTTTCACTTATGAGGTTTCCCAACAGCAACAAGCAAGCTTAGAGGAGGGTCTCCAAGAGGCCGCGTGTAGGAACCGCGCTGACAGCGCCAAGGTCGGTCTATCTACAACGAAGAGCCCAGTCTAACCTATCTCCGTCAGTCAGCTTAGAAGGTCAGTCTGCTTGGATTAGACGTTGCGTTCTGAGTCTTGAGGCGACGAAAAAATCGTCAGTAGGCGCAGGAGGAATAATTGAATTAGAGGTCGCTTTCTGAAAACACGACGGTTTGACAAATGGCGAGCTCGGTTTAGCTGAAAACACACGAACTAGCGCTGAGCCTCCCGAGCAGCCGATATTCCAAGACAGGGGAGGGTAACGAATCGTGAGACAGGGGAGGGTCACGAATGACAGCCTGAAGTCTGGCGTCCGGACGCTCGGGGCGAATCGCGGTATTGAAAGCGATGGATTGAGACGGAGCAAGACCGTGCCATTTAAGCTACCTCCCCCGACCGCATTAGCTGGAAAAATCCCCCTGGAGAAGGTGCCTCTTCCACCCTGAATCTTCTCCCCACCCACCCCAACTCCCCTCCCCTCCGGGAGGTGCCGCTTCCCCCGCCCTTCTTGCCTCCCCGAGCAGTCACATTTCGGGGCAAGAAACGTGTGGCGGACGTAAGGAAGCAGCCAAACGCCGTCGGGAGGAATTTCTTCCTCATGAAGGCGCAATCCCGCTTGCGATAGAATCGAAATAGAGTCACTTCCCCCCCCCCCCGAATGGTATTACTCCTCTCTCCGCGTTGCGCTGGACGGTCCACGTCAAGATCGGTGGCACGCGAGCCGGCGCTGCGCTGGCGCTCCGTACGCTGACTTCGCGATGGTTCCGCGGAGCGGATTCGCGGAAAGAGTCCAGCGCATCGCTGGCTGCGCGAGAATGAGGTTGCACACGCGTGACGCGACCGACACGGTGGGCTGGGAGGATCAGCGGGAGCACCAGGAGTCTAGCACCCCGCATCAGCATTCTACGCAGGGACGTGGGATGCAACACCTGGCTCATTGCTAAGTGGCAGACCTGAAACCTTTGAGTCAGCGTAACACCTCCCCTCCGCTGCCGAGTCAGCGTGGCTTTTTCAGCGATCAACACTGCAGAGTCAGCTGCGGTATACTACAGCCCAGCGACGAGTGCCTTCCTGATGTGACGTGGCACGTGGAGACTTGTCTCAGCAGGTGTGCGGTAAGTTGCTGAGTAGCTTCCGCGACACGATTTCTAGCCAATCAAGGCGAAACGCGTCGCGCATTTTCCGCAGATGCGCTTGCGTGTTCCGGGATCTTCCATCCGGCCAGATTCTCCAGAAATGGCCTGTCCCGCCAGACGCGGTGCGCGAAAAAGAAAGCAGTGCGGTGATTGGCTGAAGCTTCGGTTCCTAAACGGTGAGGTTTAGGAGGTGACATTCGCGGAGCTCCCGAGGCCGACTTGGAGAACACCGAAGTCATTTCGCCCTGCCGAACGGCTCAGTTTTAAGTCCTGTCACGAGCAGTCACAACAAGAATTTGCAGCGGGAATGCCGCGATCCGTATGCACCCTGCTTTCTTAAACCCGTTTTTTCTGGATGAATTAGAATGGCTGCCTTAGAAGCTGTCAACAGACGAGCTGCGAGGGACCAGAGATCCTCCTATGACTCATGGCATTCTCGAGAGTCTGAAGAAATCTACGCCTCCCATCCTCGTGTCATTCCCAGGGTGAGTCTGTGACAGGACACTCGGTGTGCCAGTTCACTACTGTCACCTGTGACCCCCTTCCAAAACTCCCCCTCTCTTCCTTCCGCCCCTCTTTGTTCTTCCGCCCCTCACTTGCCCTCCCTTTTCCTTGTTCCCCCCTACCCAACTGAACTCCTGAGGTGATTCAGGGTTTAGTCTGGGGGAATGGGGGAAGATGGGGGGAACCAGGGAATGCAGCTGGTGCGCGGTGTGGATGTGTGAATGAAGATCGTGCGGTGCATGTGTGTGTGGAAGGTTGCGTGGATGATCCCTCTTCCAATGTTCCAGACCCAGTTCGAATGTTGATACGGGTGTGCAGTGCAACAGCTGTTTGAATGTTGCTTATGTTAATAACTACTCTTATATGCCCCTCTGTAGCATTAACGAGGCATGCTGACATTTACGACTGTAACGAGGCATACCAGAGGCGGCACATTTGGCAGCATTGCAATCCAGATGAACAGCCCACTAAAATAGGAGGCTTCGCTGGCAACATCCTGTGACAGCCAAAAGGTCGTGGACTCCTCCACGTTCGTGCGTGGATGATCGGTGATCTTCTGCGGGCAAGAAAGATTTTATAACCATGTTTCCTACACGGCACGGTCATTTTCTTGATGATTTGATTCTTCACCGAATCAACTCGTTACAACGCGTTTACGAGCTCACTGGTCCACGACTGCACCAGCGTTGTAGCCAGCCTCGCCATAGCACAATCATGACTGTCAACGACCTTGCCAGTGGATGATTAGCTTTTCATGATGCTGCTGTTTAGCTGGGATATCCGCGCCCAGCTCTGGTGGAGCCGAAATCTGATGCCGACAACTGCGTCTGTGTGTAATCACCACCACCTTTGTGGTGGCGAAAGGCAGGCGAAAGATGTTTCGTGAGCTACTTCGTTGTGGGCTGGCCACAATTGCGATTCAAATCAATTGCGAGAACACTGCCACTTATGTAAGTACAGGCTGTCTAGAATTGTCGTCGCAAGTCTGCCAGGCTGAATCTTCATTCACATTGTCCCTTCCACAATGGCATGGATGTTTTGAGCTCCACCACTCATCCCACCTGGTAGCAAAACACAAATCTGGTGCACACAGCAAGATGTCCACAGAAGACTGCGATTTGCTAAGTGATGAATGCCGGGTGGCAGGGTTCCAGATCCGAGGCATCATCACTTCACAGCGCCTTCATGGAGCTGGCATGACAGGTGATAGCTTGCTCATCAATTCTGTTCCTCGGTGGGATACTGTATCGAATTCGAAGCCCGGACGAGTGTGACTGAGGAGAGGACACATTGGTTGGGCAATGAGCATCCAGCGAATTCGTCTCAACCCACACAAATAGGCCGCTTTTCTCAAAGTCTGAGCACTGTCTTTAAGTCCACGAGCCAAGTCCACAGTGTTCCATCTCTGCTGAGTTCGTCTTTGCTTCACAGCCACGTTCATCAGTGTTCCCGTTTTAGTCGATATCATGGCGAAGAAAGTGGAGCGTGACGCCTTCCATCCGACCACTTTCGATGTATCAGACCTTCCTTCTCCTCCCGCGAAACGCGTGTGCGTCCGCAAGGCTTGGGCGAGGGCGCAACCCCTTGTTGACCTCAACGCGCTTCCACCCGAAGCGGAATCCCCGCCCATGCCGACAATGTCCGCCGCCCCGTCGCTTGGCGATCTCGGCGAAGACTTGTTACTCCACATCCTCCAGCTCGCACAGCCGACGGCCTGGGACCTGTCTCGTCTCGCGTGCGTGAACCGATCGTTGCGAAACCTCTGTTACAACCCGATTTTCTGGACCAAGCTTCGCATAGGTCCCGGGAGCATGCGCGCGGGAGTGGAGCAGCTCGCGTCGCGATGCGCGCATTTGGAGGAGATTCACATCGACGACCCGCGGTGCGAGTTGCACGTGCTTCACCCGATAATCATGGCGTGCGGCCCGTCGCTAAAGCGTATCGTCATCGACTGTGACCGAGATGACACGAGCCGCAACGAAGCGTCCATCTGCAGCGTTCTCTGGATAGTAAGGTGAGCATGATTCTATCTCCTTGCATTTGTCTTTAAGGTGAGCAAGTTTCAAAGTGTTCGCATTTACATCACCACGTCTTGCGGGACGTAGTTTATCAATAGAGCTCTCTTGTTACCTGCTCTTACCTCAAATGTCCCTTTTTCTCTCTCCTCCCCGCTTTCCCCTTTCAAATGTGCAGTCTTTACTGCAGCAATGTCGAAAGTGTCGAGCTTATATCGAGCGGCGAAAAGGGGAATTTCAACTATCTCGAAAACAAAACCATGTGGTACCTGACATCGGGATTCCGTCGCGTCCGCAGTTTCGCGTGCCTGTGCAAAAACAGCCTAACGAAACAGGCGATTTACCTGATGGTTATCGCTTGGCGGGAACTGGCGTACCTGCGAATCCACTGTGGCGCGCTCGCGAAGGACGACCTTCTGGCCTTGCGGAAGTGTTACGCGCTGCGAGTGTTGGAGCTGATCGGCGGGAACCTTCGCCAGCTTTTAGGCGAAAATAGCGCGGCGACAGATGCGGTCATGCATCGCGACCTGACCACAATCGCTTTGACGAAAATGGAGTGCGACGTTGACGACATTGCGAAACTATCAATGCTCCTGCCGAGCCTACAGCGGATTATTGTTCAAGAATCATCCCTACGCACTTCCGCGGGAGACGATGTCGCTACGAAGGCACGAGCTGTCGCAAACCTTCGCACATGGCTCGCCGCGCGGAAGAACATCCAGCTATTTATCAATGAGTGAAGAGCCGCATGAATGTTCTCCAGTGTATTCGCTATCGCGCTACTGATCATCCCACAGCGCTGCGTGCCTTCTAATGCACACTACGAGGCTGCCGGCGGTAAAAGCATAGATTGAGATGAAGGGTCCGCTGCAGAGAGTTTTTGAAAGGAGAGTCGAGAGCGGAGAGGCGGAAGCTTTACTATTGGCTAGGTTGACGATTTCGCAATTCGGTCGGCGAATGAGAGGCTCTGGCAACTGCGGCTCGCTGGGGAGGAGGGTGAGAAGTAGAAGGTTCCAAAAAGTGAAGGTTCCTCGT